GTATATATAAGGAAATATTGACTTTGTCAAGATTAACTTTGACGTTGTAAAAATTAACTTTAGTGTTGTAAAATTGAACTNTGATGCGAATTAGGTGTCAGGTTTCTTAATTGGCTGGTCATCTTCTTTGGTCTCCTTTTCTTCATCGATAGCATCATATTCTTCTTTGTCACTATTTACGATGCTAGTTTTTATTACTTCTTTGTTTTCGTTGTTGGTTAAGCGCCGGGTTGGAAGTGAGGTTGTCATTTTTTGTTGTATATTTATTTTTGGTTTATCGATGTCGATTAGGACTGCTTCTGCAATTTTAAGATGCGTGTAGTTGCTGTTCTGGTATATTACTTTGGTGTTGCTGTCGAGGATTTCACGGCTAATTGTGATTGAGTGTGTTGAGTCCAAATGAGATTTGATAGCACCACTCTGTTTATGCATCGTAAGCCTTCTAGTCAGTGAGGTAGTAGTAATCCCGATATATGAGTCATGTTGACGTGCACAGCCGTCAAAGGGGCAATTAAATTCATATATTACGTGGTTACGCTTTAACTCAGAGTTATCTCTAGGACTGCAGTTGTTTTTCAGTATTAGGTGAGACGTCTTTTTATTGTTGTAATAAATTCGGAGTTTAACTTTACTATTTGGGTTGGTTGGTGTGACATTTTTATTGATGATATGCTTAAGAATAGCTTCATCTACCTTGTTTGACATGTGGTTTCTGTAATACAAGATGATGTCGTTATCTTGATTTTTGGTGCTAGGAAGGTTATTGATGTGTAGTAATTTGTTTTTAACAATCTTTTCAATAGAGTAAGTCTCTTTAATTCAGCGTCGCGATTTTCAATATCGGAAGAGTGTGTGAATGCCGGTTCACAAATGATTTTATTGTGCTGTCTTTAAATTGTTCAGTGCATTCACTTTGTCCATTCAAACAAATTCCTGTATTCGTTTCTTTGACATAGACCGCGGTTTTGAATCGTTCTTCGCCACGGGTGACCAACACATCGAGGAAAGGTAAACGTTGTTCCTTTTCACTTTCAATGGTAAATCTAAGTTTTGATTTGTTTAAGGTACCAAGTAGTTGGGTGATTTGTTCAGGATCGTTATAGAAGACAAAGATATCATCCACGTATCTGGCGTAGATATTTGAGAAAAACAAAAAACTTTAGTGAGAAAAATCGAAAAAAGGAACTACAAACATATTAACGCCAAACATTCGGTAAAATTTATAGAATATTATAATCTCTATAGTTTCAAATTGGAAATCCGCCAGCAAACTTCCAGTGTATTGCAGAGTTACTGAACTTAAGATGCAAAAGCAATGCAATCTTCTGTAATAATTTCAGTACTACAGCTCAAGCATTTTTCTATGACGGGCATTGCATTATTAAAAAATCTACTATAACATAATTTCATTTCCATACAAAAAACTTGGTGGTCTAGACAAAAATGCTTTATAAAAATTTGGTAAGATAATAGTTGGAATAGTAATAGAGTGTTTAGATTTATTAAAACAAATTAATTCAAACTTAGAAGAATTAAGTTTAAGACAAATAGAGTCAGACCAAGCAATAATTGAAGAAAGACATAGAGATAAATTATGAAGAACACTATTGAGATTAGATGGAGGAAAAGAAGTATAAATGTAAGAATCATCAGCATATAGTTGACTAGAGAAAGAAAAGTTATTAATAATACGAGGTAGTTCAATTCCTCGGAACCGTCTTGCCGTTCCTGGTCGCAAATTTGAAAAAAGTATAAATGTTTTACCTACCTCGGATCTAGAAGAGCTGGATGAAAAAGGTCACCAGTCTAATTTTAGCCACATTTGGATAGTTTCTAACCACCCGTGCATATTGCCTAGATCCACCGCTGAGGATTATGATTTTAAATGTATAGAATTTTACGATTTAACTGATTTCAAAACAAGCAATTTCGGCAAAAATTATGCGTACCTTTTAGCAGCAATTAAAAAATTTCCAAGCTAGTTAAATGCTGCTGCCAGAGACCAAACTTAAATTGTTTTTCAATGATTGGGATTTTTTTATTACAAATTAAAGATTATTTCAGAACAATTTGTTTAAAAATTACCATATTATAATTTAACTTATACAAGTTTACATTTCAACCAATTTAATATGCACATCAGGAAAAAATTAATTTATCTGCGAAAAATGTAATGAAAAAACAATACCTAAGAATCTTTAAATTTAACAACATTTTTAGCCTGTTCATGTTCAATTTGAATTATAAAAATTTAAAAAAAGGATTGTTGTCCTTTATAATTAAAAAAACATTTATTTACTAACATTAGAAAATTTAATAAGAAATAGCTGAAACTTTTACATAAACTCTGGCGTAGCTTCACAGAGTACACATTTGAGATAATCACACGCCTGGTCATTCCACGTGTAGAGTCCAGACCAAAATGATATGCATGATTCTAGATTCCAGGATACCCAAAAGCATTGGGTTGGTCTGGATACCAAAATGTTTTATTGCCCAAACTCCGTGAAACATTTGGAAATGGTTTCCATACAAATGGTGTCGATATATTTAGAGGATCAACTTTCTGTCCACTTAGCCATATTTTTCTAGAGTAAAAATCAGTGTCGTAACAACCATTGTTGTTGGAATCAAAAATGACAAAATTAATTATCTTAAAAATATCAATACTTGACAATTTTAACAACCTTGTATTGAGTTTAAATAAAATATTATATCATCGTTCTTTTTCGTTGTATTGATAACAACAGGAAACGTATTTGGTGGTGACAATTGGTTGCACCAGCTCCTTGCCTGCTCCCAATTCCATGATCCAACCTCCAATTTGTAGCAGGATTTTGATGAAAAAAGTAAACAAACGAAGGAGGACATAATTCTGAAAAATATTTTTATTAAATTTGTTTGAAATACCTAAATGTAAATATGTTTGTAAATATTTTTATCTGAAACCTGCTCTGATGTACAATGAGCATCCAAGAGAATGCTTGATCCAGATACTCCACGTTTCAAACAGATCACACCTACTTGACTCGTAGTACTGGAAAGCCAGGCAACCATTGTAGCGGTCACAAGCAAGACTGCACTGTGGCAGAGATATGTTTGCAAATGTTTTGTTTGATGCATCAGCAAAACAAGTGAAGGGCAATTTAACATCCCTCCTGTACAAACTTCCAACAACAAAATCCCAGCGCATTCTTCGAATTATATAAACTGCCATCGTAAGGCAATATACTTGAAAGATTGTTGAAATAAACATAATAGTTATATAATATAGTTAGTAATAATAGTTTTAATAGTTAGTAATAAACATATTTCTTTAAAATTCATTCAATATAATGTTAATTTTTTTTAATTCTGAAAAGTAAAATGTTAGAAAGACTGTCTAACGCATGTTTATTGTCTCCGAAAGTCAAAGGAGAAAAAATTGATATCGTTTAAACATCTACATATGTGCATTGTTTATTCAATACATTAGATGCATTCTATCTAACATGTATCTAATAAGTTGCTGGCAACTTATTAGATATATGTGTCTAATAATCCGCTGGCAACGCATTTAAAATCGTCACAGGGCTCTGACATTCAGAATAAATTAGCCATGTGAAGTGATGCTTGAGAAAATGCTTGCATACGCCCTACTGTATACATACACGGATATTCATTTATAATTGTATATTTATTTTTTTAAATTGCTTGTATTTTTTCACCCAATTATTTACTTGTTTATCGATTTATTTATTTTTTGTCTGTTTTTGTGTATTATTTTATAGTTGTAATTTCAAATGAGCGTGTGTTTGTGTTTTTGTGTGTGACTGACTGACTGACTGACTGACTGACTGACTGACTGACTGACTGACTGGCTGGCTGGTTGGCTGGCTGGCTGGCTGACTGGATAGCTGGCTGGCTGACTCAATTTATTTAATTTATTCATTCATTAATTTATTTTATTAATTCATTTATTTATTCACTCTTCACTTACTCACCAACTCACTCATTCATCCACCCACTCACTCACTCACTCATTCACTCA